GACAATCTACTCTTGGTAGAATCAATCACCATTGGTGAGAATTTGACAACTGTTGTCTTCCACTTTCTTTGAAGAGTCTTTGAACATGTGCAGAGCTCCTCTACTTGATCAATAAGAGAACCGGGGTACTCGATTTCGCCGATTCTCTTAAGAGTTTAGTAGGCAAAGGTTATTTGACTTTGCCCGCCTCCTCGAGAGTTATACTCTATGCATTGAGCTGATTACTGGCCTTCGCCTGCTCTGCTCACTTCTGAAGCAACCTAAATGTTTGCACTTCTTGCCTTGAGTTAGCTACTATGATTCACCTTCTCACTACTATCGAACTTCTAGAATACAAAAAGTTTTGTTCGAAAAGAGCTAAAGTTCGCCCCAACTTGGAGAAGTCTCCAGTAGTCTTGATCGCCTCTAGGATTGTATTGTCTTCTCCATCATTTATGTCGCCTACTCCTCCAAGTAGAAAAGGTACAACACCACGCCTATTTCATTCCTTTGTCAAGCATTCTTGCATCAACTCAAAGTCCCCCACTTTTGCTTATTTTGATGAGAAGCCTATTGACACTGGTCTTATGAAGTTCCTTAGTCTCTGCCCTTCAACCTTGTTATGGTACTTAGAGTTTGCCTTTATATTCTCCGCCTCCTTAACCCCCTTCATGACCAAGCGCTCTCCCTCCATGAGAGCAAGGGATTGATGACTCCACGAAAGTCCCGCCTCTGTGATACTATGGCCACTGCTATGCCCATGGCCTTACTATTCGTCACCTCACATCTACGTCTCTTTCTTCGTGATCAATAGATCCACCTCTATAGCACCACGGAACTCCTCCAAATTCACCTTCATTAGCTGATGCTTGGTTTTGGGTAGCTAGGTCCCTCTAGACCCATCGTCGCTTCCTCACCCCTTTCGACCATCTGTTTTATCACCTCTGTGTTCTCTAAATAGTTCCCCTTGGTCGATAGAAAGATAGACTGCAACTCTCATGCATGACCTCTAATATCATGCTATGAGCTCTGGAGCAACATTCTCCTTTGCTTCCTTAGTAACAACGTTCACATACTCGACCTTGTCCTCTGACTTGTTGAACTCTCTTAAATGAATATGAGCTCTGGATTTCTCCTCGGTGATAACAACGTTCACATACACACCCCCCCCAAGGGACTCGCTGGTACTTGGACTCGGAATTCTCCTTGGTGGTACACAACCCCCATATGCTAATGATCAAGGCTTTCATCCGATGTAAAATTCGATGCACGCATGGAAGACCCACCTTTGTGGTACAATGACATTCACTCCTTGAATCCATAACCCTTCTTGCTGTCGTGTTGTTCATCGAAGTGGAGCTCCCAATAGCTCCGATCATACCTCTGTATGATCAAGTCACTCACAGGACTTTTCCTGTATGTGTCGCATTGCTACTGCCTCGAACTATTCCATCATTATCTGCTACACCATGTTGCCTCCTGGTGACATCTCAATTGGATTTTGATCTTTGTGGGATAAACTCGAACTACGATCTCTCCATGTGTAGCCTCTACCAGCACATCATAGGGCCTCCGCCACCTCCGATTGTGTTCGCTCCTTTGGTAATCAACATTCGTTAACTCGCTCTCGGGTCACGCTCAGACGAAGCATAGCTGTAGGATAGTCCGTCGCCTAGCAACTCTCGAAGTCCATAGACTTTATTGAAATTTGTGTGCCATAATCTGAATCCAAGGCCTCTGCCCCCTAACACAATCTCTGTTATGCACCGCTTCCTTCGCGGCAACTCGAAGGGCAGCACTACAACATATTCTTCAAGAGTACCCGTCATCGTGTACTCTTGCCTCATGTCAAGGCCTTCCAACCCCAACTTCACAAATGCAAGCGAGTCTCCTTAGTTCCTCCATCAAATGCTTCACCGAGATTATGTGCATATGCCTCAAAACTCATTTGACTTTCGCATCGTACAGATTGAGTCCGCTCCATCAGAATAAGGGAATCATGGAACACCATGATCCCACTCTTGCCTTTACAAAAGTTCATGTCCTTAACCTCTGTAAAAAAAAAAGCTTCGTGCCTCCACTCCATATCTCATCTTCTATGTCGACTCCCTTCATGCAGCTTAGGCACTTCATCAAGTTCCACCCAAGTTGTTATATTCCTCGGTTTGCATTGAGTTGATGGTGGCTCTCGCGCCCACCATTCCACAGGTCAGCCCTCCGTTGAGTCCAATCTCCACATCGACTCTTAGTGTGCTTTCGTTAATTGTTGCCTTGGGTCGCTCCCCCACTTGATCTTGTAATGCGTCCACCATCACATTACCTCGGGCGAGATCATATGATGATTCATTGTCGCTTGCTCAATCCGTTGAGCTTTATGGAGTTATTGTCTTGAGGTACCCCTCCTCAACATGTGGAGTCCATTATACATGATTCTCCCTCTAGAGAATGAGGACTTATCTCTCCTGGATATCTGTACCGTTGGAGTAACTTTTCTCTTCACATCTTTTCCTCTGAAAGTTTCGGAGACCATCGTTCCCTTGGACTACTCCGCCTTGCTAAACGAACTATACACTATTCCACTCACACAAACGCACTTGCTAGATTACGACTCTTTACCAATACGGCCCTACTGCACCACTCAAGGCCTAGCAGCATACTGAACTTGCCACATACTTCGGTCTCATACAAAAGTATCTTTCTCATGCCTGAGACAAAGATTCAATGCTCCATAGCACCGAGTTTCGATCAGCTTGGGATGGCCACAGATAGTCCATCGTCCACATACAAGCCCTTGCATTAGTACCAAATTCTTCAAGTTAGCAATTCCCCCCACATCTATGAGCTTTGCATAACTCTTTCGATCGTCGAGCAACTAATCCCTCGCACGATCTCATCCGTTGCCAAGCGCCCCGCTTGCCTTGAGCACCGTCAAGTTTGGTTGTCAACGTCGAGCCATAACTCGAACTCAACCATCCCAACCTTTATGCACTATGTGTTCTTCCTAACTAGCTTGTCCTGGTGGTGTCTCTCGCACGAAGGGTTGCTCATTCCTTTGAATACCAATCTCGGATACCCGCTCCTCCAAGTGACTAATTTCCCTAAGTCTCTATGCATGTTTCCCTCAAACGGTCATGCATGTTAGCTGCCCTCAACGTAACCCTACTAAGTCCACCACGTTTGCGTGTCAAATGTTTCCAAGTGTGATTGTCTTGCTCTGATACCATCTGTCACTGACTTAGCTGGTTTAGCCTAAGTCATGCGGCACCCTTATGGTTAGCCTCCCCGAAACTTTTTACGATCCCTTAAGGACTTGCAAAAGAGAAGACGGGTTAGAGGAAAAGTTTAACTCGGGATCCGCGAGCAATCATTTCAGCAAATACTTAATAAGCAATACAAATTACAAACATAGACATCGCAAGCTCTGAACGGTTGTGCGACAAAGAGTCTAATATGGTCCGCTGTGACCAAAAGTTCCAACAAGTTCCCACAAAACACTGTTGTGGAACAAGGCAATGAACTAGCTCTAGATATTACCCCACAGACCCATCCAGCCATGTGCCACTCGGGTAGCTCCTAGGTGTTGTGCTGGCTGACACTCTACACCTCTCTGTAGAGTTGGAAAACCCCCAAATTGACTACTTGGATGACCTGTTTTTGGACAATTTTGCCTTTACACAACGACTGCACAAAATTTGTGTCTACAAGACTGAAACAGCCATAAAAGCCAACCATAATGGGACCACCAAACCTACTACAAACCCTCTATATGTTGTGTACGACATGAACAAAACCGAAAGACATGGACATATATGAGCATTACATCAAACACCTTGTTTATAGATTTACCCATGATAGTCAGGAGGAGAGAAAGGTCCTGAGGGGGCCTCCGCAGAGGAGTTCATCTACTCTAAAGGAGGATGTTGTGCCACCATGGAAGTTAGGGTAACAAGAGCCGATTCCACTTTACGAACTAGGGATAGAAACGAGTCCCAAGTAACCAGGTCTTTAGCAATATCCACGGTAAAACCAACGCCATCCGAATTGGGTTCAATGATGCTTGTGGGTTCGCTGAAGGAGGACCACCATCCTCGGGAAACATCTCAAAAACATCCTCTTTCGAGTCCACCATCTCATCCATTGGGTCCGATTCCACCACAACTTGTTTGCCTTGGTCAGTGAAGCAAAGCCCATGTGGAACAATGACTTTGAGAGTAGACCTCAAGCCCTGCCCATCGCAGATAATGCCAGAGGATGTGCCTCGAGCCTCACATGACTGTTCACCATCGCAGACCATATGAGTCATGGGTGGCACGTGCTCCTCATGAGTTAAAAGAACCCGTTGAGGAGAAGGGCCACCACCATCTTCTCCGATTCCGACCACCCGGATGGGCGCCAAGAGGGGACATAGATCCATGGACCACAAATTTCCGCCCTTAGATCCACCCTGAAATGCACTGCCTGAGCCTTCCAACTCCAGAGAGAGTTGCTCAACCATGCCATTAGGAACTTGCAATCCCATGGGGAACGGATTCGAGGCATGTTTTGCTGTAGGACATTCGGGGGGTTTCATGACCTAGACAACCACAGGAGAAGCACATAGACAAAATCCTCTCATGGACCACAACCTGAAAAAATTATTCCGGAGGCTTGCCAGTTTGTTTAAGGGGGCAAGTGAGATCGATTTCAATACAGACGCTAACGAATCGGCCCCTTTAAAATGTAAAAGCCCTGTCAATCTTAAGGGGATGCCCTATAATGGAAGCAATACGGGTGATGCCCTCCTTGTTCGGCAGCCCAGGAAATTGAATCCACACAGGGGCGGAGATGAAGGACTGGAGGAGAGGTTGGTAGTTTGCACGCCAAGGAATAAGGTGGATTGAATCTTCTTATCAACAGAGGTCCCAGGGTTTGCGCCACTCCCTGAGTTCATCCTCCGCGAAGGTAGCACTGTCTTCCGAAGAAGACCGGATACGCTCAAAGGTAGTAGAGGAGCAAACCAGAGCTAAGAGGAGGGGCCTTACCTGCAATGACCGGTGCCCAAGACAGATTTTTGGAAACCCCCAGACGGTATGGATCCGGGGGTTTCGCCGGAGGAAGAGGGGCAGAAGGTTTCGCAGGCGAGGAAGGAGTCGAGGACGGAGGTGGCCTTGATGTGGAAGCCTCCCCATCATGCTTCCCCGAAGGCCTCACTGGAGCAGGACGGACCGGCTATGACTCGCCCGCAGGAAAGGGGGAGGGAGAGGAGTCGCCCGCACACCCGCGCCGCGAGCAGACTGGTGAGCGGTCGATGCAGGAGAACGAGCCCTCACGGAGGCACCGGCACGAGCAGACGAGGCCATCTCCCCGGTTTTCCGCCTCCGTCAGCTTCTTGATAACAATAATCTACCAAGCGAAGTGGAGATATTGGACGCACTACGTAATTAATGGCATGTGTTTATGGTGGGAGAGATGATCACAAGTGAAAAATCATTCTTTGCACACATGCAGAATGAATTAATGTTCTTTTATATTGCATCTTCCTCCTAATCTTTGTAAATATAAAAAATTATAATTATTAAAATTACATCATAAATCTTTTAATATTATTCAAAAGAATTATCTGATTACAATATCAAATCTAAAAGCTACAATGATATTGATATAAAAAAAAAATTAGACTCGTCTTTTCCTTTATTCATATCTCCTCTATAAACAATCGATTATGAATTAAAAAAATAAGAATAAATATGTAATTTTAATAAGCGAAGCAAAGATCTAATATAATTTCAGGATTTTAGTATAATAAATATGTAAATTTCGTTTGTATCTTTTTATAAGCGAAGCAAACGATCTATTAAATATAATCATATTATAATTAAAAAAATTATTAATTGATGATCATTTCAATCTGTATGAGATTTTGGGCACCGAGTAAAATCAACAGAGCATTATTATATGCATCTGTGTGCAGGATATCCATACTTGCAAATATTTCTTTCTTAGCATCTCGCTGTTGCTAAGAAAGATCTATTATTGTTTTCAGAAACAACATCAGAATGTAGAGACCCTTGTAAATTCTTCCTTATAGCAGTACACAACTAACTGCATACTACTTGACACAAAATATGCTCGATTCGGATTCATCATTAAATTTGTAGTGCATTCCCAGCAATGATCGATGATAATACTTTGCTTGATCTTATGATTAATTACACCTCTTATTACATAAGATGTGTGGAACAGTCTAAAAAACAACCATGACGATTGATCTCAATCTTCGACCAAAACAAGCAAGTGAACAAGATCAATAAATTATATGATGGGTGGAATTTGACGAACTCTCTTCACTTGTTGAGTAATTTATGTTAGTACAACTTAACGAAAGAGACAAAAAACCACACACACACACACAAATTAACTTAATTATGTCTTAAAAAGCTGAAAACAAGCAAAATTATTTCAATAAAAAAGACTTATGATTCAAGTTGATTACTGAAAATATATTGATCAGACTTTCTCTTGGTCAAAGCAGGACAACCTATGTATCACAGCATTATGTTCTTCCATGTCTAACTCCAACAATGGGGTTCCCACACATTCTAGTTTTCAGCACAAGAACAACAAATACCAGCATTCTATAAAGACTATTCAGCTAGCTTTCTGAATCTGTATCTGTATCCATAACGCATCCACTCTGCACGAAACATCAGAATTTACATGTAAATTCCCAGTAGTGGCAAAAGGGTTCTTATTATTCCCAGTTAAACAATCTGCATGCTTTAACTAAACTGCAAAACTACTAGTTTGTTTCTGTACATATGCATGATTCTCTAGACTGTTGCTTTAAGCCAGGTCATCGGATGGTTCGATGAAACTCTCAGCTCCTTCGGTCAGCAGATTGTTTCGCATGCGAAGATCCCATGACTGGCACATCAGCACGTGAAGAAGCCATTGCTGAAAGAGGCTGAAAGTTGGAATTGCCGACAAACCAATACTGGACCCATTTAAGATTGCATAATGTGTACTTCAGAGCTTTTGTCCAATTCTCCTGCTTGTTGAAACTTTGGGTGATTGTGTAGCTATCCAACTTGTCATTCTCAATTCTATTGGGCAAAAAAACAAAATGGCCAACTCATTAAAATAGTAGCAATGGTCAATCAATGAATAAAGCCCACATCATGCAATTTAAATAATCTCCAATTGTGGGACTAAACTAGTTCCACTACAACAATGCCAAAAACCAACCAAAATGTTAATGGACAATAGGAAAAAGTTTCATTCCACAAAATAGCATATAATCATGGTGTACCAAAATCTCACTTCTTGTCAAGAAAATTTTGTAAACCACGAGACTGCCCATGTAGCCAGAATTTTAGGATCTGATTTTGAAGTACATTAACTCATTTAAAATAGAGTCACAAAAGAAGAAAATTTTTGGGTGGACTCTTTTGTTTGGGCATGGTTAATGTGGACATACATTATCAGATTTGGGGACATACCAGATTTGGGGACCTCATACACTGATAGTATCTCATGTTCCAGCTTCATAAAACAAATTAAGGCCACTTCAAAACTATAAATTTCCAAACATTGAAAAATACTATCAGAGCATTCTTATTGCCAACACTAAAATGTCCATAGCCACAGAGAATTTGCCACTTATAAATTGTCTTGTAGCACTGCCAGACAGAATATCAGATTGATAATTTTGATCTTGTGAGAAGAACCCCAGGAAGGTATACACACAGTCTAGGATAAGAAATTTTGGCAGCACATGCTATAAGCAACAAGTCTGTTTTGCACTACACAGATCTTATAAAATCTCCAGTAAAAATTATAAATTCTTCCAGGATTAGTATATTCTACAGAACAATAAAATATTTACACTAAAAATGCTCCTCGAAGAAATAAAAAGAACATGCCAAGAAAAAATGTAATATATATTGCCAAAGATACACAAGGGGCAGGGCTAAATACATGTAAATCATTTGTAATTTAGTGCATAAGATAATGATGCAAGAGTATACATGCATGACTACAAATAGAACATGTTAATTGATAAAAAAATAGACAAGACTATGCACCTGAGGAATGAACTAAACAAGTGAAACTTGGCAGATGAAATAAGCAGTTTATGCAGCTCATTTGAAAAAAAAACATCCTATAGGAGAATAACTTAAAACAGAGAATTTATCATTTTCCATAATCAGCTATAGAGAATCTAATTAAAGAGATAACCTACTTGTAGGGCAGTCTAAAGCATTTCTCAGGAGGTATATTATTTTCTTGGTCCTTCAGATTTGCAAATTCTGCAAACTCTTTGAGGCATGTCAAAAACAATGTCATTGCTTTGTCATAGCGAGTGCTCCAGAACAAATTCACAGGACCAAACCTGGCATCAAAAAAGATTAAATCTCAACATTTCCATGTAGGTAAACAACACCAAGACTACAAATTCAGGAGAAAGAGGTAATGGTGGATTTCAGTGAAGGCTTTGCACCACTTAGACAAAGACCAATGCCCACAGATTGCTTCCATGCATCTGGATTATTATGAAGAGTTTGTAAAATAAGTAGCACACTTAGCATATGAAAAGTGATATATTTCTGTGTTATGAGCCTGCCAGAAAATAAGCTAGACCCTTCAGTTGCTATAATCTTCCCCTCAGCAAAATCTAGGCCTCTTTGGTTGCACAATCTGATTCCATTATTTCTGATCAAAGTAATTTATGGATCTCATATAACCTACCTACTGAATAAAGGAAAAAAAATTATGGTTTAGGTCAGCTACTTAATCTTTTAATGAATCAATTGAATATTACAGCACACTATCCAGAAATGCTAATCTTAGATGCAAACAGTCTATAGCTTCATCATGAACACAACATATTTGTCCGATCATGTCTGCTAAAATTTCTTTCAGTTTTCTGATTCATCTATCAAGTTCAATATCCAAAGAAGTCTTAATCTACTAGCAGTACCAAGTTAACAGAAGTAATTAGTTATCATTTATGACTAAACATTTATTGTAGTCTGCTCTTATTTCACATGATCCAGTTATGCAAATACTAAAGAAACCTTAAGATCTGTAGCTATTATTTCATCTCCTCATATCACTATAGTGTAATAGAAAACACAACAAACTCCCAACGATGATAGACAAAGTAGTAAACTCAATAACTTTCTTAAGCAGTGGGGAGTTCAACAAAAGAACCAAGAACTAGTACTACAGGACAGCATAGAACATTGTGGTCGTGTAAGTCTTATGATATACAATGATGATATCTCTTTGGAAGACTTCACAAAATATAGCCATTTTTCCATCGACCGGAAATCTAGTGAATGAATTAACAGATAAAATTGACATGCGAAAGTGTAAAAATCTGTTTATAGAATAATTTAACAGAAAACAAGTGCCTTTGCATGTACCAGCAAAATCAGTAGACCTTCAAAAATTATGCAGAAGAGGTGAGAGTAGCGTCACTTACAGGTCATATGCATTATTGTTATTGTCCATAATACGGGGATAGCTTCCCATCGGAAGAATCTTTATTCGATACCTACCAGATACAAGTTAAGGAACATGATGCATGTAACCATGAAGAAAATTGTCTATAGCTTGGATCAAGTTGCATGAGGCAAAAGCTGGAACGAAGAAAATACTAATATGCAGGATTGCAAAACATGCAGAATCAGAAGTATAGACCTGACACTATATCCAAAACATATGAAAAAAGGGAAGGATAAAAGCAGAGAAACGGTCCCCAAACATTTCAAGAGCAGAAAATTGGCATATGCATGCTCAACATATTAATGCATAGCATAAATCACAAAAATGCAAAGAAAAAAGTCTAAACAAAACTTATAACAATAGTGACTATTAAAAAACAATTAAGGTTTTCCTTGTGACTAAAAAACCAACCATAACCAGCAACCAAGGAAAATGTCACTTCATAAGATTGTCAAAAACTGTCAATAACCATTTGATGGAAAAAAAACAACAATGAAGACTGTCTATATCTGTAACCTTAAGGATAATGCACCAGATATTTTGTTGTCAATCAATATGGCAGCCATAAGTCTGCCATATAGCATGAATTAGTGTTGGTAGAAAATCATATTTGGATAATTGTCCCAAAATCCAAAACTTCCTGGAAGGATATGTTCCAGTCATGCAAAGTAGAACAGCTTGTACATTCTTCATAAAGTCACTAAAAAAACAAAAAATTCATACCAACTCAACAAA